AGGCTTAGCTGAATTAAACCCATCATCTATCTGGAGTGTAAGAGTCGTTGAATTAAAATTAATGTACAGGAAGCATCAATGGATTTCAAGCAATTTTTCTGCAAAAAACATTAAGACTATTTTTCTTCTCTTCTGTAAGTTTTGAAAACTTCCAGCTCTGTGCTGAGGAAGAGTCTCGAAGCCTCACGTAATTCTGACTTAACGTCAGCTGAGACTTCACTGGGAATCTCCAGACTACTGTGACAGGTAGTAGTTATTCTCTCTTCTGGGGCTGCTCCTACCTATTTCTGAAGGCTACGGTCAATGCTCTATATTCTCCGTGGTCCTGCCATATGAGGGTTCAGCGATACTCCTCCTAGCTACTGGTACAACAGCTAAAGAGACAGAAGAAACAGGAACCATTTGTTTATTCCAGTAGACAGCAGGACGTATACCCGTGTTCAGAACTTCCTTAAGGTACTTCCTCAAAATCTGCATCCAAGCACAATTTAGGGAATATGATCATCTAACATAAAAATTACCTCTACAGAACACTTCCTTACCAGTCCACTGGAGTCTGTGACCTCGCCTCATTAATAAAATAAACCCTTTTATTACGAGGGAAAAAGGCATCCTAAAAATCTCCAAAAAGCTGCAGATAGCCTGATGCCTTCCCAAGGTAATAAAAACAGAACTCATTCATATTCACTGATAGGAAGCTCCTAAACAGCAGAAAAAGGGATTACAATGAGTGGAAACTATACAAACATATCCATGTCTTACAGATGCCTGTAGTTTAGTCAGTCCCTCCAGGCTTATCAGCTCTTCAACTACTTGATACCCTTATTTCTTCCCTCCCACAGCAACCTGAGGAAGGACGTTAAAGAAATTGTATTCATTTTCCTCCTACTAGTAAGACAAAGTTATCCCTTAAATGTTCAAGCAAAACATTTTCAAATGATCATTAGAAAAAAAAAAAAGACTGTAAGCAGCCATAGACCTGGCAGAACAAAGAATATGGAAAATGTGTTTCTTTCCCTCCTCGTTTTATCTTTGAATCACCTTGTAACTTTCTCCGTCTCCCCTTCATACTTCTACTTCCCCATATGAAACCTGAGCAACATAAACGTAAGTGCCTTCCTCATAGGTGTTTTTAATTTGTTTGTAAAGTGCTTTGAGATCCTCTGACAGAAGGTGCCTTAAAAAACAGAAGAAAGAAAAAATAAATATTTTCCACAGCAGGCATGAAAATGGAAAGATATTACTGCCTATACCATATCCCCAAGAAAGTAATAGGGAGCTATGAAACGTTATGTCACTACAGGGAAATTTTCTAACTTACTGACCTATCACGTTATTGGCCTAATGTATACCCATAAAGTCTATTGCCTTCATAAAGCCTCTGTACTCTAAGCTCAAAAGAGGTAAATTTTTCAGCCAAGGTGCATCTCAAAAGCATTCTCTCTATGAGCTACTTTTCTGCTGGAGAGCAGAAAATGAAGCAAGATATCCTGAATGACCTTGAGGAGCCATCAAGCTAATAACACTTAGCTGCTAGTTAATGGTCAGCATTACGCTGCCTGCAAGGAATACCCAAGAGAATGTCGTTGCACATTCCAGCAAGAGTCTATTACAAAACAGAGTAGGCTGAAATCAGAAAAAGAGTGAAGAAACTAAAGCTGAAGAATAAAACATTCCTGGTAGAGCAAAAACCTGCTGCAACAAAATTATCCGGCACAGAAGGGTCCATGAAAGATAAGTTTCAATAGCTTAAAAATTTTTCAGTTTTCAGAAGAAAATATTACAAAGGGCAGGGGAAGTAAGGGAAAGATAACTTTGTACTAGTTTTGGTTTCATAGTGTTGGCATCAACTCATTTGATAGCAAGACAAACGAATTGCAGAGCCAAACAAAGTATTGCCTCTAGTCCTTCTAGTCTTTTGGACTAGCTCATCTCTAAAGGTCCCTTCTAATCTCAACCAATCTGTGAGAAAACTTGTTTCTAGAGGGTAATTTGAAGAGTCCTGTTCTGTGCAAGTCCCATATAATCTTTTTTTTTTTTCCTTCCTATAGTTAAAACCAAATAAAGATGTGAACCGAGAATAAGAGATACACTTTCTAAAATACTAGTTTATGACGAACATACCCTGGGGGCAGGTTTTTCCAGCTAACGTGAAGTGATGATGTTGGTGCAAGAGCAACCAAAAATATATAGCTTTACACACGGGCATATCTTCTTAATGTGGAGACTGCTACTATTTCAAATGGAAGAGAAAACTGTAGGGAAACGCACATGGCTCTCTGTCTTGGCAAAATGGCCAAAATCCTTGTTAATACTCTTCAGGTACAAGCTCAGGAAGTTTATTCATTTGGTTTGCCCCCAACATACTCATGTAGTTTTTGGAAAACACATGTAAAAAACACCTGCTATCACCTTTGCATGAGGGAAACCTAGTGCCGAAAAACATCACAGACTTGGAAACTATAAGTCAATCTCCAAAACACGAGACTAGCTTCAGAAATCATTTCATTTTTACAAATTCACACTTTACATACTTTCAGCAGGCTTCTTTGCTATGAAACATGCTCTTTTTTCCCCCTCTCCAAACTAAAGTTGAGATATTTGCATAATCACATGATTCAAACAACATCAAATTGTTGTGTTCAACATAAAGGTATGAAAACAAAAGCAAAAAAGGGTTAGGTCCAATGAACACAAAAGAGAATACTGATTAGGTAGGAAACCAGTCATACATACACTTATGAGTCCACTGCTGGCAGTAGTAAACACAGTTCATTAGTGTATAATAATAGAGGTCATTTCCAACAGACTGTTGATTACTGGTCAGCTGTTATTCTCAAACCTGAGGGCTTTTATCATTGTAGAAAAAACAGGTAGAACTTACATTAAAAAAGGTCAGTAGAAGTAACAACGGAAGGAGAGAAAGATCACAGTGATAAAGCGTTTAGGATAATTAAATGGAATTTTGTCATAATAGATTTCAAAATAATAATTATAATTATTAGATTTGAGTTTGCCTTCAGGCAAACACTTAGCAACGGCTTCATAAATTGCTGCTTTAGAAGTTAGAAATTAAGAAATTTCAGGAAAAAGACTGTAAGAACAGGAAGGCACCTTGCAGATTTATATTTTGTTGTTAACTTGGAAAATTTTCCATTAATTGGTAATGATATGCTTCATTAGTAGTATATTTCATTATGGAAATGCAAATTACGAGATCCTAATGATGCATGCCCTAATTGCAGCAGTTTGTCTCAAGTTCAACCTAGATGGAATCAAAATACTAACTTACATCCTTTCAAATTCTGTGAGATACGTTAAGCTCCTTGTCTATACTTTACTGAAAAACTGAAACAATGCATTATTATGAGATAAGAACGATGTCTCATTATTCAATGATCTCAGGACAGGTCATCGATAATCTAAATCCCTGGAATGAAACATACATCTGCCACTTGAGCTCAACAGAAGCGTCAGTGTTGGGAGCCAACGTACAGAAAACATGAAACATTATGTAACAATAGGTATTCATTACATTTCTGTTCTTTCAAAATCCTCCAACAAATTAGAAAAGCAAAGAAGATAAATTTAAGAGTTTGCCAGACAATTCTGTGTAAGCTGTAGTTTCTGCATTTGAAAGCTAGAGCGCAAATAGATTACCCTCGCTGTTGGATGTGAACTGTACTTTTAGCAAGTCAAAAAAAATAAAAATAACCCCAAACCTAGCAAACCTCATGTCCTTTATTACCACTTCAGTGATTAGTGAAGTAAGATCACAGAAGGGCCTGAAGACACGCATATCTATGTATGCATCAGCATTTATAATCGAAAGGATGAGAAATTTACAACCCTAAGCACTATAATACTGGTAACCTTCAGATCTGCAGGTCTTCAACCTTCAGATAGGATAGCTATCCTTTTTGCTTAAGGTATGTCAACTACCTCCTATTCCTGCTACATTTTTGATTTATAACATCCAATTTCAAAGTACTTTCTAAAACTTGAGCTATTACAAAACAGAGTACTTGTGGGATAATGCTGTTTAATTAAATATCGTATTCAATACCAAAAACTTGACACATTTTTAAGGAAAAGAGAAACTGTTAAAAATTCATGGAAAGATACAGTAGCTAAAATATTTTTTTCTGCAGGAAAAAATACACTTTTAGAAAGTTGAATAATGGAGCATTATTATCCCATATTACAGCAGTTAAACTAATGCTAAATAAAGCATAAAGACCTGCTGCCAAAACATAACTTGACAGTATGATACTACTAGCGCTAGAAGAAGGGGTTTTGCATCTCTCATTTTAAGTCAGAAATTCACAGTATTTAAGAACGCCTTCCTCCAAAAAAAGTTTTCTTTTTTTCAAGCACATTCAAGCATATATGTAGCAGCATACTGTAAAAAATACCCAAAAGAATGGGAATGGCAATACCTAAACCTTTTAAAGGCTAACAGGGAGGGTGAAGAGCCAAACTGAAAACACGTATCTTTATTCTCCTTCACAGACAATAAAACTGGAAACAGTATTATAAGATAAACATTTTTTTTTTAATTAACCTTTTAAAAGAAAAAGAATTCAGTATCAAGGACACTGCTTACAAAGCAAGAAAAGCAGTCCTTATTTTGGTATTTTAGGAACATTTAACGTAGTATGCCGGCAATACTATGAAAAGGTGCTAGGCAGTAGTTTTGTTAATAACAGAATTAAGAAGAATAGGAAATGCAGTTGTTTTTAAACTGTTAGTAGTTTAACAAATGCATGGTTATAATTTACTTAACTGCTTCTTCAGAAGGGAATTTCCAATAAAGGACCGTTCAAGTAAAGCAAGGCAGAATACCCCTCCTCAAGTTACAATACAACTACATTAGAACAGTTATCGTTAGGAAACTTAACATATATACACCCACAAAAAAGGCAATTTCATATGATTTAATTAAAAAAAAATCTTGCTAGAGATGCCTAACATGAATTACATTAAAACAAGCCACTTACTTTTTTGTCCTCAGTTTCTACACAGGAACTGCACTCTGCTTTAGCATCCTGAAAACACAAAGAGAGAAGAACATGTCACGAAACATATTCACCAGGGTTGTGGAAATAACTCAGGTTAGAAAGGGCACTGAAGTCTGAAAAGTGGGTTTCCAGGTTTCTCAAGAATTACATTTTATTGCATTGTTGTTTTTCTATATACAGTACATTCACAGTTACAACGCTCAGTATTAGAGCTTTAAGTACGGTTTATTAAGCTTTATTGGAAGCAGATGTTCCATAAATGAAAGAGAAGATTGAAACATTGCAAAACAAACCTATCTCAGTGTAGCTCACAAGGCAAAAATATAATCTCCAGTTTGTAGAATACGTTTAGTTTTTCTGTTTGCATTCTGAGAAAATATACTTGCTTGCTCACTTTGTTTTTTTGTTTGTAATGCTAAATTTAAAAATTTAAAGGATAAAATCACCATCAGCTTAAGAGGAATCAATTGCTGAAACTTCTGTCTGCTGAGAAAACCGCCAACTTGGGCATTACAATTTATAATCCATTATTTTATTACCTAGTCTCAAATATTTATTAGGTAGTCCATGTTTATTCCTATGGATTACTCGATATGTTGAAGATATTTGTGTCTGAATCTCACTGCAACACATAAGCATGATCAAGCATCTTGTGTGTGTGTGTGTGTGTGTGTACATACACACACGCTTTGTAGACTTAGATTTTCTTTAAGAGTCAAGTAAATAATCCTAGCTTTAAAAGACACCCAACCCATCTTCCTCTCATTCCTGAAGTGTTTTGACTCATTGAACCTTAGAATTTTTGCAGTAGATGAATAGTTAGTGAATATGTTCTCTTCATCTCAAGACAATTAACTGTTGTCACAAAAATGATAGTCTAAAAAGGAATTAATTTCCTTATATAATCCCTTTATACAACAAGTTACTATTGTAAACTGAATAAATTGAATATATTTCAAGCTAATTAGACTAAAGACAAGATTAAAGTGACCTACTATGCTTTTTCTTTTGTTTTCTACCTTATTTTTATAGTACTGGTTCTCTGGGAGGCTAACTTTGCTCAAATATTGCAAACTTAGAGAGCTCTACTGGAAAAAACGACCCCCCAATCTTTTGCTAAAAATAATCCCTCTCCCAACCTCTTAATGAAACTAGAATTACCCCCCCCCCTCAGATTTTAGATCATTGACTAGAGTTACTTGCTACAGGCCCAGACTACAAATTCAATGCTGATAGCTAATAATAGCTTCCATTAAAAATGGGGAAAAAAAAAGTTAAATACTAAAAAAGTTATACTTCTTCCACCCTATTCCTGTTCATCTTAAATAAAAGACAGATATTATTTCAGTATCAGTCTTCTTACCTAAGCCATAGACCCATACAAAATCTTTAAAAAATTCAATCAAATAAGATGACTCAAGATTTTCTGAAAAAAAATATTTCCATCCACAGTAAGATACATTAAATAAAGGTCTTAGGAGGAGTAACCAGTTCTCTTGTCACTTCTTAAGCAGCATGCTTTCAAAAAAAAAAAAAAATCCTCATTATTCTAGGTAGTTATATGTATATCACTTATGAATCAGTACCTCAAACGCTCTTTCTGTTCAAAATACTTTTGCTGGGGGAAACAGACCATGTTTTGTGGAACATAAGGCGCAAACATTTCCTTTCAAGCATGACTTACTGGCAGCCAGATATATATCACCATGTCTCTCTTCCCGTTTTATGGGTAACGAAATACTGTCTCTGCCTACAGGCTAAGTTCCTGAGCTTGTTTTTATATTTATATTTAATCTTCTTTTATAAATGAGTGAGGGAACCCCCTCCTCCCCCAGCTTTTAAGAAGCTTTCTGCCTGAGTGGAATAAATGCAAACTTCCTTAACTAGTGCTTTTCACCTGCTATCTACGTCCTAAGCCACCTTTTGCAGATAATACAATTAACCTATTTACTGGTCAATCAAAGATGAATCACATCTTTTCATATCATCAAGGACAAAGATGGCTGTATCACACAAACTGATCTAAATTAACTGAACAGAGACTAATGTAACTCCTACCAGGCTCCAGGCATAGCTATTATGAGCGCTACACACAACTTTTGTATTCTTACCCCTTCCACTGTCTCTAGGCAGTTTTAGCTTGCTATTTGCCAATACCATTTCTCATTGAAAGCTGTCTTTTAAAACCAAAATTCATAAACACCCATTATCCAAAATGAATTAAAAAAACACAGCTTTACCTGGACAAAGCAGACACCATCTTTCTCCTAGCTCACTTTACGTAACATGGTTGCCCACGACCAGTAAGGCAGAGAGTGCAAATTAAGCACAAGCCAACCCCGCTGAGAGCAATTAAGGCCAGCCCAGCTGAGATTCACCTTGTTGCAATCAGTAGTTAAAGAGACAATATGCCTAAAAGTTAAAATTAAGCATTGTACCATTAACCATGACATCTATGTATATGTCGTTTCAATATTACTGGAAGTTGAAGCCAGTAAGGGAGAGCGGTATTTGCTTATCTTTGAAACTAGGTAAAGGTAGATCAGGGTAAAGAAATAACCTATTTATCTTCAAGGGTAGAAACCTGAATTTGGACTTCTGCACAAGCACAAGAGAAAAATTCAGGGCCCACTGTTATTTTATTATTTCTGGTATTTCAAGTAGTTTCATTTTAAAATACTGCCTAAATCATTTTTGACAAACTTCCTTCAGACACAGTATCAGACAACAACCTGGACTATAACAACCTTCTAATGTGTAATCCCTTAAAAAGCCTCACTTCCTGAACTTGATCTTTCTTCATTGATGAGTGAGTTTCTCACAAATGCATGTACTCAAAGGATACCTCCACGTGTACCTTCAAGAAGGACTCAAGTAGAATTTAGGAATCCTCAATCCAAAATGGTTATCCAAAGTGACCTCTTTCAGTTTATTCATAACCCCGGAAGCACTAAACTAACTGGCTGTCCTCTAATTTGACTAAAAGTACTATAAGAAAACTGAACACCTCTGGTACTAATGTCTTACTCCAGGCCACGAGGAATCCAGAAAGTACAAGTTCCCCTATGTAAGACAGCAGATGGCCATGATCTAGCAGGCATTCTCAGAATACCTCTAACGCAGAGCAACAAGCCAGCTCCTAAGAAAACATACATGCACATACATTGCACCTGGAAAAATAATGTCTGTATTTTGATACACTTACTTAAGAGCAAAATCTTCCAGTTGGAAGGAGTTAAAACCTGTGTTTGCTGCAACTGAACTCAGTTCTGTTAGCGCATTGGGTTCAGTATTTTAAGAAGCAAGTAACTGAACGAAAGGTAGCATGTACTACTGACAAAGAAAAAGCCAAAGATTTCCTGTTTGCTTGGTACCTATTTGTAGGTACCTATCTTTAAGAAAAAATGCTGGGCTCCAAATCTCAAGTGCATGGAGACAAGTTATCTTTGACCTACGTTCCAAGATTACTGACAGTTAAAAAACAGCCTCTCTGGGGTGCCCAGGGGCAGTGTTAGGCAACCTGTGCCCAACACACGGGCTTTCATTATGGCACCTGAAGACATAGTTTTGCAAACACTTGCTTTGAAACAATGACTGCCATATCCAGCTACAAGTCTGCAAAACCTTCTTCTTTGGTGCTGGTACCAGGGTTTGTACGGAGCTCGTGAACTGAATTACGGAACTGATCTAGGTTACAACTGTCCGGCGTTTTCACTTCCAATGATGTCTTTAAACTTGGAGCAGTTCCTCAATTCATTCACAATGCATATGCACAAATGCTTATGTTAACACAAATGAAGATGCATGATGGAGGCAGGAATGAAGGACTGTGGAAAACAGTAAGGCAAGATGTCTAATTTTGGCAGCAGTAGCAGCTAGCTCAGGCTTAACGTTCTAAGGAAAATATGGGCCACCTTTCCCATGGAACACGCAAGTGCAGGTTTCTATATTGGGATGAAGTCATGAATTTGGGCTTGCCTAGTCTGCATCTAGATCTTTTTTCCTACAGAAGAAGAAGAATTTAAAGAGGCTGAAGAAAATATATCTCATAACGTATATATTTTTAGTATCACTAAAAGAAATCAGGACAGTAGGTGAACAACAAACAACTGGAGACAATCAATGAGACTTCTAAACTATTAACTTGCAGTTTATTAGCTGAATGATAACTGTAATTTGCAGTAGGTTCTGCATTTAAAAACAACAGCAATAGCTCATATGCTCTGGTAGAAGTGGGGGACTATATATGCATAAACTACAGTTGTGGCAGATGCAACATAAGAAAGAAGCGGAATCACAGAACTTCTTTTATTTCCTATTGAGAACCACACTACTAAAACCGGGAAAACCTTTTGGCAAAAGAATACATCCACCATCTTTCCAAGATTATTCAATTTATTGTTGTCACAATTAATTTACGAAGTCCGCATCAGATTTTATTTAGACAGTAGCGTTGGTTTGTTATACAACTAAACACAACATTTAAGCACTTGAGGGAGTTGATCAGGTTTCTGAAAAACGTTGGACTCATTGGAAAAATGTCACTTTTGCAGAAACAAATGGTTATTGGAGTTGCTTGTTGTGCATCCGAAGTCTCCAGATGGGCTACAACTGAGTCTTTTTGAAACAAAAAAAGTCAACTACCTCGTTACCAGTTGTAAGTGAACTCAGACAGCAGTTATCCTTAAATATCAAGAATATTTCACGTTAGGATCATGCATGCATATCCTTTAATTCCATAACCTTCAATCGTCTGAGCAAAACAAACCAATTTTGCTGAGGCAATTATTGATATAATTCTTTAAACCAGTCCAAGTCACTAGCTAATTCAAATAGATGCTTAAATATAAATATTTGAGTACACACCCTCTACATCCCAGATGCAGCTATTTCAAAGAAAAACACATATGGAAACCAACATTATAAAAAATATTATCAGAATGAAACACCTGCTAAGGGCAGAATAAGGAGTGAAGAAATAAGAAAGAACGTACTCCTCTGGGAGACATCTGTGCTACCTTTTGTAA